AACGCCTAATCTAAGTGTGGGTGTCTGGTTGCCTTTCTGTCTTAAAGGGTGTGCACATAGATAGTCCCAGGGCTGCCTTGGAAAGGGACGGTCAGTTGGCAGGTATTTACAGAATGATGTTAGGGTAAATGTCTTCTGAAAGCCAGGAGTAGCACCTACCAGGCAGCCCAGACTCAAAATGAAAGAAAGAACAGTTCCACTCACAGGGAAGCTGGATCATGGCCAGGGAAGCTTTGTGGCACCACCGGAGATCCTTCCAGGCTGAGCCATGGGACTTGGCATTCTCCCTGTGGTCTCATACAAGTACAGAGTTGCCTACTTCAAGGAGTCAAGACTCTGTCTAGGAGATCATTCTCTCTCTTTCTCATCTTTCTCTCCCTCACTCTCTCACACACACACATTTACACTCCATCCCTAGCAAGAAGATTCTTCCTCAGATGTGTTTTGATAGAAATGGATTTGGGAGGCACACAAGTGCTGAACCTTGTGAACTGGTCCCTAAAGAGCTCCTTATCCTACGTACTGTCTATCTCAGGAAAATTGCCTTTCTGCTGGGCTTTCTGGTCTTCTGTCTAGATATTGCCCAGGAAATAGGGAAGGGTAAGGATGGGTGTGAGACCCACTTTTCTGATGGGAGGATCCCTTTGGCCTGATACAGATCTAGGTGTTGCTCCCTGAGGCAGTTCCTCCAGATGTCAGCAGCCAGTCCTGTTCTCAGAGATGAACGGCCCCAGTGTGACTCTTATCCTTATCTAACTACAAAGAACTTACTAAGGAAACACACTCTTTTATACCCTTCACTTGGGATTTAAAGGACACAATGATTGAGGTCAGCTGAGTCCTGATTTTGCCTTGGTTAAGTCCTGGGTTGGTAACCAAAGGGTATCAAACTACCAGTGGCTCTGCGGGAGAAAGATGTGACAGTTTGCATCTTGCATCTTAGACTGGATGGCAATGTTTTTTGTGGTTTTAAAATTTTTTTGTTTGAGATCAATAAGCAACAACTCCCTCTCAATTCTCAGACCGTGCAAGTGATTAGAGCCACATTCAAAAGGGATCAAATGGTTACTTAAGCTGATTACTCAAACTTCTCTGTGTTGTTGTTAGTGCCATCCAGTCTGTTCTGAATCATAGAGACCCTGCATAGGTTTTCCAAGGTGTGGCTGGTAGGCTTGAACCACCAACGTATGGTTAGCAGTCCAATGTTTACCCTACAGTGCCACAAAAAAAAAAAAAAAAAAAACCTCAAAAGAGAAGATGCTAGTTTAGTTGTTTGATTTCATGGGATTTTAAAGATGCAGCTTGGAGTTATAGATTGTTGTTGTTGTGTTTTTGTGAAGTGCCATCGAGTCAGTTCTGACCCACAGCGACCCTGTATAGGGTTTCCAAGGAGCAGTTGGTGAGCTTGAACTGCCGACCTTGCAGTTGAAATGGCTTTGCAGTCTGGCACATTAACCCACAGCGCCACACCAGGACTCCAGAGTTACGGATTGTTGTTGTTGTTATGTGCCGTGGAGTCGGTTCTGACTCATAGCGACCCTGCACAGGGTTTCCAAGGCTGTTAATCTTTAAGGGAGCAGAACGCCTCATCTTTCTCCCATGGAGCAGCTGGTAGTTTCAAACTGCTGACCTTGTGGTTCGCAGCCCAATTCGTAACCACTACGCTACCACAGATTAGCAAATGCTAAATCTGGATGCTTATATTGGTATTAAGACAAGGGACTTCCTCAGCCCAGGCGTACCGTTAAAAAGTTATTTGTTGTTGTTATGTGCCATGGAGTCGGTTCTGACTCATAGTGATCCTATACAGGGTTTCTAAGGCTGTAAATCTTTATGGGAGCCAAAAGCCTCATCTTTCTCCTGTGGAGCGGCTGGTAGTTTCGAACTGGTGACCGTGAGATTAGCAGCCCGATTTGTAACCACTACGCTAGGTACTCTCTTTCAGTTTATGAGTCTGTGTTCTTATTGTTTAGGCTGAAGAGGAAAGAAGGGAGAAAGATGAGGAAGCTTCACATAAACACTAGTTTTTGCTTTTTTCCCTAAATTGCAAGAGAAGACATCCCTGGAAATATAAATTAACTAGTTATTTTAAATGAATTAAGTATATTTAAATGAAGAGGTATATTTCCAAGACTAGGAGCCTCTTTTTTAAAAATGTTTATTGTGAATTATGTGATAGTTTACATGGGAGAACATTAGCTTTACATTCATCCTATCGTATTTCATTCCATTGCCATGATTATAATCCCCTCCATGCCTCATTAACCAACAAAAGGGTAGCCCCCAGTCATGAGTACACAGCCCCTCTCCCTCTCTGGGTCTAGTTAGAGTCCCCAGCCACTCCATCTCTCCAAGTCATCATCTCTGCCTCCATCTCTGGCGTCACTGCTTCTCTGGGTAGGGGCCCGCACTCCACTCTTCTCCCTTGATGGTCCCAGGGACCTCCACTCATGGACTGCAAAGTCAATCACTCACCTCCTTTTGTTACCAAACATCTACCTTTACATTTTCAACCCTCACAGTCAGTCCCGATAGCAATTATTCACTATTGTACCACAGGAGTCTTATCCCAATCTCCTTTCATCAGCCCCGTCCAGACAGATTAGAAACCAGTCAGTGGAGATTCTATCTTCCTGCACACCCTCTGGATCTAGGCTCCCTCTTGAAAGCTTATAAATCAGTCACTTCTTGCCTTTGTAGTCCCTTTACCCTATTTTGGGTAGCCAGTGTCCAAGTTGCCCATCTCTGTCTACCCTGTGTACCAAGGGGGTAGGAATGAGCCTCACTGTAAAAATTTGTTCCCTCTTTTGAGCTACTACATCCATAAATATAGGTCAAGTTCATCAAATTGTATCAGATTACACTTTTTTTCCTCTTCTTTCTTCTTCTAGTCAAGTTCTGATCATCCAGCCATTGAAGCCAGGTCAAATGGGTACTATCTACAAGTATGGGTGTTCTTGTGCATCTCCCCTCACTTCATATCAGCTGGACGTTTCACTCTCCACTCTAGTCCTCTATGGCCATGTCACTGTCTCTGGGCCCAGGAGTCCCCAGGTCTTGCCATAGTATTGGCCAACCAGGTCTCAACCCGGGTTCACAGGAGTCTGTTGAACATGGTCGGACTTTGCTCACAACTTCATTGCTGTTTTTCCCCCATTTCCCCTTATGGGAGCCCAACGAGGTCACCAGTCAAACCACATGCCTGCTCCTGTATTCCCCTTGAGACTTAGTTTTGGAAGGGGGACCTGACCACTTGCCTTTACGGCTCTTGGGTGAACAACTTGCTTGTTCTTGTAATAGTCAGTCGGACTGCCATTATTGTTTTTTATTTTTCCTGCTGGTCTCTCTTTCAAGAAGTATATTCTGTTCTCTGAGTTGCTCCAGGCTGGTCTGCTTGTCCTTTCAAGTGGAGGTTTCCCACCTCAGAAGATTCTGGATGGGGTTAGGATCCTCTTTTCAAAATTGGGATACACTACTGTTACTGGAAGGAGCTCTGGTAGCATAGTGGTTACAAGTTGGGCTGCCAATCTCAAGGTAGGCAGTTCAAAACTACCAGCCATTCCATGGAAGAAAGATGAGGCTTTCTGTTCCTGAAAAGATTTACAGCCTCAGAAAGCCTGCACAGGGTCACTATGAGTTGAAATCGACTCCACGGTGCTTAACAACAACAACAACACTGTCAACTGGAGTCCTGGTATGACACTATAGGATAAGCCCTGGACCCCAAAGTCTGTTTGAACCACAAGGTCGGTGGTTCAAACTCACCAGCCACTCCTTGCAAACCCTATACAGGTTTACTATGAGTCAGAACTGACTCAACAGCACTGAACAACAACCACAACAATGTCATGAGGGATAGGAAGTTGAACGTCTGGAACTTGCTCCTGGGCTAGGCATTTGTGTAGCTGTAGAGCTCATAATACCCAACTGTCTTCACATGGAAATACTTCAGATTAAATACAGACCTTTAAATCCTCCTGTTTGCTAAGGTACATTTACATGATAGCAAGGCCTAGGCAAACATACAGCCTCTATCAGCACTAGTTCTATTCCTAAACTTAAAGAAAAAAAAAAAAAAACAAACTAAAAAAGGGCCTCTTAGTATGTCTCATTTGCACAGTCATGTGTTTTCAGCATTATCGTGGGGATTACTCAGTTACATTGGGAGCTAGATTATGATGTCAGAAAACATCCTTCTCAGAAGAGGCAACAAGGGTCCTGGGTATATATTGAGGAGAATTTCTACTGCAGGTAACAAACAAGGCAATTTAGAAGAGGTATCTGCTTTCTAGTAATTGCCTTGGGTGGTAGTAGGCAAGCCTCTTTAAAGGAAGTTTTTCAGTCATCTAAGACTTAATTTCACTTTTCAGAAGAACAAACAAAAATATTTCTGGAAAAGATAACTAAGAAGATCACCCTCCATTGGCCAGAAGAGCAGAGAAAACTATAAATCAAGAAAAAGGTGAAGTAATGAAGTATGAGGAAATTTCAGTACTCCAAGTCTTTAAAGACTATTTATTTTATATATATATATATATAGTGTGTGTGTGTGTGTGTGTGTAGGAGACAAAATTCTGAAAAGATTTGATAGATGTTTTGCCATTAACACCAGAGAAGAGTGGGGGGGGGCGGTGGTGAAAGCAGTGGGAGGGAGAAGGGGGTCAATTTTGTTTAATTAGTAGAAAAAGCAACATTAATCAAAGCTGTCTATTGATGTCAGTCTTTAATTTTGAATGTTCTGAGGCTATAGTGAATTTACCGCATAAAAATGATTTCGTATTTTCAATCTGATTTTTGTTTTAACCTTTGATTGGGGGAAGGTTGACTTTTTAAAGCCTTAGTAGTTTGAAACTTGGTTAAGTAGCTTTGAATTTTTATTGTGGAAGTAAATATTATCATTTTAATATTAAGCAACTTGCAAGTATTATATGGCTTATTTGTGATTTGCCTTTTACAGATTTCCCACCTTCAGATCTAAAGATCGCATCAAGGCTTCTGAGTCTTTTTGGAAAGAATTTATTATAAATCAGAAAGTGTTAGAAGGTCAAAGGTTGGCATTTCTGCGTGCTGATTCTTTGTTTGATGCTATGCAAACAGGTCTAACTTTTAAATGTTCAAGGGAAATTGTGGAAATTCCCAGAGGGTTTTGTTGTTTTTTTGTTTTTTAAGAGGGGAGAATCCAAGTATGGAGTTTAAAGAATTTATGTTAGGGGTATATGAGCTGAATTGGGGTGCCCTCACCCACAAAACTAAGTAGAAAATGTTAACTGCTAGCTGCAGTTGATTGAGAGGAAAGGGAGCACGAAATGAGCGAGGGTCAGGGAGAGGGAGCTATTTCACCCACCCATTATTGGCAAAGTGGCAGCATCAATGGGCTCAAGCGTGACAGCAATTGTGAGGTTGGCCCAGGACCCGTCAATGTTTCGTTCTGTTGTACATAGGGTCGCTATGAGTCGGTACCGACTCGATGGCACCTAACAACAACAACAATAGTAAAATCTGTGGAACATCACCCGGAAAGCCAGTCTTGATAAAGGTCAGGCTTCGTTAATCATCTCAAATCTCTATATCATGCTAGCCTTTCAGCGAGTAATGAAACCTACAGGCAAGACTGCCTGTCTACAAGACAAATATCCCTTGACGGGCTCCCAACTACTCGCGATCATTTCAGAAAGATAGAGGAGCCCGTTGGGCGGGTATCCACATCCGCTGCAATTCTTTCCTAGATGATACTGCCCAGTAATTCAGAGCAGTCTTTCTTCCCCGCCCAATAACTTTGGGGAGAATCCCTGCTTTCTCTTCTCCTCTCCAGGGCTGAGCAGCTTACAGCAATTGTTTCGCTGCATCTGCCGGCTGAAGGGGCCTTTTGGTGCAAAGTCGTCCTAGAATAAGTAACAGGGGGCTCGGGAGAAGTGGCGAGAGCGTAGGGTATCCGGAGAAAGGGTGGGGTTAGACTCCTGTTGCTAGCGGAAAAGGACCCCAGGAACACCGGTCCACCTCCACCTTTCAGAAAGGGGTCTCCTTCTTCTGCTCGGGCTTTCTTGGACAGGTTCCAGATGTCCCCAGCTGTTCTGAGGCAGCAAGAAATCCTATCTCGAACTTAAGTCTGAAACCGTTTCTGTTCTTTTAAACGAACGATCTCCCCCCTCCCTAGCCGATGCTCTCCACTAAGCTCACCCCAGGAAAAAAAGTCAGGAAGGAGGGTTCCCACCAAGCGCCCCAAGCTCCCAGGCGGGCTTGGGGCTCCTTAAAGTCACAGGGCAACTGCTCGCAACCTTTCCGAAGAGGCTCCGGGAGCCCAGGCTCCCCAGCCCTAACTCCTTGGCCTCTTCCTCGCCCGTCTGCTCCCGGAGGCCTTGGCGCCCGCGGGTCCTGCCTAGCGCGGCTGCAGCGGCGCTCGCGCCCCCACCCTTGTCTGTCCTGGCCCATCCGCATGTCCTCTGGGACCCCGACTCCCCGGATTCGCTGCGTGGGCCGTGGCTGGTCGCGCTGGGCGGGAGCGAGCGGATTCGCCCACGCCCCCGGCTGGGAGATGGCGCGCGGCTGTCCGGAGCTCTGGGGTGGGGCTCAGTGGGGCTGCCGGCAGAACCCAGGCCGGCAGGGGTGGGGACCTTTGCCGCTAGCTGCGCCTTCCCGGCTCGGGGAGCCCCTCCGCTGGCTCTGGCCGCGCGGGGCCGCTCGGGCCGCTGGTCGCCGCCCCCACCCCCCGCGCGCCCGCCCGCGCCCTAGCTTGCCCCGCGCGCGTTCCTAGGGCGCCACCTCTTTGCGACTTGTTCACTTCTCCGGCAGGTTTGCTTCAGAGCGTGTGAACATTCCTCTGCTGGGCTTTCAACTTGCCTCCAACCTGCACCGCCCGGCCAGCATGCCTCCCAGCCCGTGAAGCCGGGCCCCCGCTACCCTGACGCACCAGCCGCCGCTGCCCCTCCGCTCCGCTATTAACCCGCCCTCGCTGCCACCTGGCCCTCCCGAACGACGACACACGCACTTGAAACTTGTTCTCAGGGTGTGTGGAATCAACTTTCCGGAAGCAACCAGCCCACCCGAGGAGGTAGACAGACAGCTATGTATATATATATGTGGGTCTCACTACAAGTGACTCTAGGATCAGAGGGCCTGATTCGCAAAGAAGCTGACTTCACGGGAGGAAAACTTTTTCTTTTTTCTTTTTAATTTTTAGGAGGGGACTAGCCGCGTTCCACGAACCTAGGATAGCTGCCGGCCAGATTAATTAGGCATTGCTATGGGAGACATGTAAACACACTGCTCATCACTGATGCATATATAAAACCATTTCATTTTCACTATTATTTCAGAGGACGCGCCTCTGACATTTTTCCCCCTCTACTTTTCTTTTTGGTCCGTTTTTGCCTGTGTGGTTTGGAAAAAGCAGAATTGGAGTAGCTGGTTCCTAAATAAGTAAGTGTTGAGAGAGTATCCAGAGAAAAGTTTTGGTGTTTTGGTGGTTTTTTTCTCTCTCTCCTTCTTTCGGTTGCAATTTAGGAGATGTCCTGGATGTTGGAGAGGCTATTAGACAACCCACTAAAAGCAGGGAGGGGAGGGAGTACGATGAGATGCAGAGTCGGAACTGACATTTTGGACCTTTTTCCAGTCTATTGCAGGTCCCAGGAGCGAGAGGTTACGATGCTTCGGAGACTGGTTCAGCAGTGGAGTGTCGCAGTGTTCCTGCTGAGCTACTCCGTGCCCTCCTCTGGACGCTCGCTGGAGGGGCTCGGCCGCCGGCTGTAAGTGTTCCTTGCTCTCCTGGGCGCCCGGCGAGGACTGGGAAGGCCAGTGAGAAAGGCCGCCAGGCTGGGGCGCTGCCGAGGGCTCGCAGCGGTCACTGATGCTCCTCGCCCCTGCTAGAAAGCTAGGCGATCCGGCTACCTGCCCGGGGCTGAGCCTGTATCCCCAAAGCAGGCAGGAGAACTGGTTGAACCTGTAGGAGAGACAGGCTAGCTATGAATTTTATGTGAGTTTCCATAAGAGGGAGCGTTTTTTTTGTTTTTGTTTTGTTTTGTTTTGTTTTTACAGAATCTCCTTTATAGACAAAGATCCTCTGCCCCTAGTCAGAGAAAAGGGTTACTTTTTCAAGACCTGGAAAGGTTTTGAAACTGCAAATCGCAAGATTTAAATAACTCGGAGGAAGCTGAAGGATCCAGAAGACATGTCTGTGTGCGTTTGTGTATACGTATTGAACATGGATGGCAGTTTGTGTTTGGAAAGCAAAACGCTTACATTTAATTTTATTATGAATGGCATAATTTTAAGCATATAAAACGGGACTATATTACATAATGAAGGCATATTATATAATAAAGTAGTAGCAACTTTGCAATTAGCACAACTCCAATATTAGTACTGATACAGTTTAGGGATGCCAGGGCACTTGATTCTCAAATGAATTTTAGATGTGAAAATTTTTTTCTCTTGGAATTATCGGTAACAGGTTTTTTAATCCAGACTCCAATATATGCATTGCAGACTGAAACCTTGTATTTTGGTATTATCAGTGATTCTTTTAAAGATAATTTTGACTTTGAAATAATCACATATCCACCCATACCAGAGAAATATTATATGACTAAAAAGTTGGAAAAGTCATCTAGAGCAATAAGTAACATGATGTTAAAAATCTAGTGAACACAGCACTTCATTAATGTGTGTAATATCATCTTTGAGAGGTCTTTAAACTGCAGACTCAGTGTTCAGGATGGGAAAACTATAAAGTTTAAGAACTGAGAAGAGTTTGACTCTGGATTAAGAGTTAAGGAGAACTTTTACACTAGCAATAAAATAGCAATATCTAATATTTACAATCAAGTTCATAGCGCTTCCTTGTAAATTCTCAAGGGTGTACAAAAAGGCAACTGTTTTATATATGTCCTTGGTCTATTCTTATTAGAGCAGAAAATCCTTAAATGAAATTACTTTAGACATGTCTGAACCTTGGCACCAAAATGAAAATCTATTATGAATCTCCTAAGGCGAATTGTGTAGAACATTGTACTGAAGATAAAGACGCATTGTATTCTTCAAATCAACGTTTTGAGAATGCATTTCTGAACATTTTCTTCAGACTTCTTGCTCATTTTGAGACTTGTATTAAATTCAATTATTTAAAGTCTACAAATAAGTATAGGTAAAGACTTAATATTTAAAGACATGCTTAAATGTTGTATTTATTTGGCTAAGAAATACTGTCTTGGAACAGAGCCAACTTTTTTTAAAAGTTATCTAAGAAATACCTGTTTTTCTCTTGGGAAATAAAATGAACTGTGATTAAATCCACAGTTATGGCATAAAAATAGAGCTATGTTGTCCTAAAGGCTATTTTTAACTCTTTGTTGCACCTTGCAAAATCCACATCAGAAACCATTTAGCAGCCAGAGACACTGTTATAGTTTTGTTTGTGGGTGAAATATAATATTGTAGTTAAACACTCACACTCAGCAGACGTTTATAAAACTACCACAAAACATTCTTATAGTTAATGGCTAATAGATCATCACATTACAGTCATGTTTTTTCATAGAGGCTGAAATCATCAGTAGATGAAGATGTTTCATCAAATTATTACAGCCAAATGGAGTTTTTTTAAAAAAAACAAGTAATTATTTTTGCATTGCTGCCAAGTAACAGTAAATTTTGTGTGTGGACAAAATATTAGTCTACTTCTGTGCTAAACCAAGCTAGTTTCTTAAAAGAAAATTTTAATATAATCAAACTATAACCAAACTATATTACTCCCCAATTATTCTTCATAGAAGTACAGATTTTTAACAGCTAGGGACTGACTTTTAAGGGAGAGGAAACTGTTACAACCATAACAATTCCTAAGCCAAGCAAAAGAGGCAGTGATCAGTTGTGAATCTTGTGAACTTGTTAGTCCAAGAGACTATAATTGATAGGGTTTGAGCATTAGTAAATTGAAAAGTGAAGCCTATGAACTTTCCTATCTAGATAAACATAGCTTTAAACAGGTGTCTATCTCTGAGTTTAAACTAGAGAGGGAACCCCAGCATATTCAGAAACCTAAAACACCATTGGCTGATGTGTTTGGGAACCAGACTGGGTCTGTTCCACTTAATGAAAAGCATAACTTTTGACTGAGTCATTTGGGTTGGAAGGGACTTCTGGTGAGTCATCTTAACTTTAACACCCTAACCCTAGCTCTTCCATGTGCCACACAACTTTTCATCCGCACAAGAGTGCTGCTTCTTCCTCTGCAGAAAGAGGAATTCTAACCTTTCTGTTTGTTCCCTGTGTTCCTCGACAGTCCCTTTGATGCTTAATCTCCTCTGAAAGCTCCCTTGAAAGTAAATTTTCTTTAAAGCTACATTTTGACTGAATTTAGGTTATCTTTGATAAGTACTTACCCCTACATTTTTCTTTTCTTTTTTTTTTTTTTTTTTTTCAGTTTTCAATTTTCAAAGGAGACCATGAAGCATAATATGCTTGTGTTTCCTTGTTGTTAAGTATGGTCAAGTAGGTTCTGACTCATAATGACCCTGTATAGGGCTGCTGAACCTTTAAATCTTTGCTGAATGCCTCCTCTTTCTCCCATGTACTACATGCTAGAGCTTAGGTATGTAATAAATGCTGTGTGAGCTATGATACTACATAATGTTTACAGAGTAACAAGCTGTTCTTGAATCCATATTTATAATTTAATATTCCAGAGTTATCTAACCTAAAAACTTCCTTGATCTGAATGTAAGGCTTACCACCTATGTATGCCTAGTTGGTACCTGGCAGCCATTTGTCCTTGGGTCAGTTTATGTCTTATTCTCGAATGCATAGAGAGAGCTATGGATTTTATTCCGTGTTGATGATAATTGTTGTTATTGTTAAGTACCATGGAGTCGGTTCCAACTCATAGTGACCCTGTACAGGGTTTCCGAGGCTGTAAATCTTTACGGGAGCAGAAAGCCTTAGTTTCTCCCATGGGATGGCTGGTAGTTTTGAACTTCCAACTTTGAGGTTAGCAGTCTGATTCATAACCACTATGCTGCCAGAGCTCCTTGTTGATGATAATAGATACCATTATATTCCTGCTCCTCCAATGCAGATTCCCATTCAACAGTTCATTCTTCACGATACTTCAAATGCTGGAGTCTTTGAAATACTAATTGCATTTTAAGTTTAGCTTTTAACAACATTTGTGCTTTCTAATATACAAACAATTGTTCCTAAAACAGGCAGAAGGAAAGCTTAGCATTTCACAAGAGATGTACTATTTTAAACTGGACAAAGCTATGCCATATTGGAGGCTTTTTATAAAATAGGATAGAATGATCCCTTCTTTTCCCATGAGAACCATCCTGGGAAAGCCCAGTGTCTAAGTTAGGAGGACATTGTGACTCACAGTGACAGGCTGGCAGAGGTGACAGAGGCATGCATGAGGCAATGGTGGATTGATTAAAACAGACTATCCATTAAAAGTCTGGCTTACAGGGAAGCCAGACTGGACTCTGTTATAAATTTGGAACAATATAGATAGTTTGGATATCTGCCAGGAATCAAAAAAGTACCCAATTCTAGAAATGATCAGTGGTTAATAACTTCTTTTTAATTTGATATTTTGATGAAAGATACTTATTAAATGGTAATACTTAGAAAATATGTGATTTCATTAGTCTTAGTCTTAAAAAATATTGTTAGAAGTATAAACACATTGTACCAAAGCCTCAAATTTGTAGATGGTTAAAAGTTTCCAGAATATGAACTGTTGCCACAAAGTAAGTAAATTTTAATCTTGTCACATGTGGCACCTTCAGAAAGGAAGAGAGACTCCTTCATGGCTAATTTAAACCAAGCTCCTGCTAAATTCCTTTCCATTAAGTAATGTCTTTTTAAACAAGCTACATGGCTTAAAGTCCTTCCCCACGCTAAAATAGCAGAAGGAAGCTGGGGTCTGGCTCTACAGTCTAGAGGAATGATGAGTCTTACTCTCTTTTTCAGTTCATAGTATAACCATCTCTCATCCCACAGAGATAACCCAAACTCTAGGATCCCTAGTTCCTTCTATGGTGATTAAAATGGACTGCCTGGGTCAATAAGGCCAATCATCAAAGAAACTGATAAATTGCCTACTGTGGTTCTCACGACTGCCTAATGACCCTTTACACTCCACTTCTTGCTCCCTCAACATAAGATGCTTCCATTGCAACAGTAGAAAAGGTAAAGCCAATATTAGTTTTAGAATCAAAAGAACTCATTTTGGGATCCCTGGCTCTGCCACTTATTTATTGTGTGGTCAACCCAACCCTAAACCTATTGCCCTTGAGTTGGTTCTGATCCATAGCCTCATAGGGAACTGCCCTATAGAGTTTCCAAGGCAGTATTCTTTATGGTAACAGACTGCTACATTTTTCTCCCCTGCAGCAACTGGTGGAATTGAACCACTAACATTATGATTAACAGCCAAGTACTCAACCACTGTGCCCCCAGGGCTCCTAGTGTGACCAAGGGGCCAGCCAGTCATTTAATCACACTGAACCTATCTCTGTAAAATGGAAATAATAGTGCTGTTTATTACGTTTGCCTTTCCCTGAGAGTTAAAGACATTGCCCTTTGATGGCAACTAGAGACTCAGACACCATATGTTAGAAAAGTAAGAGTACTTGTGTCATAGCCCCATAAAATGCCTTCAGAGACTTTATAAATGGAGCCCGTTTGGAGGACCATTTCAGTGGCAGAAGTTGGAGTTAAGTGAGGCAGGGTTAAGGTAAGCAAGATACACTTACTTACTGTATATAAGCCTTAAACGTGTTTAACAATGTATACACAGAATAATAAAAGCATACATGGATGGATATTTAAGTAAGAGTCCGGGTGCTATCAAAAAGAATTGATAGATAATTAGCTTGCTCGATTTCACTGTATTTTCAGTAGAGAAGTCACTTCATATGTATTGTTAGACATATGTTAAGACAAAGAGAGCAAGTAGAAAAAAAGTGAATTTGTCAATTACTAAAAAAAATCTTAAAAAATAAAATATGTGAAGCATTGAAGAAATAGAATGATCTCACTTCATTTAAACACACAAAGAAACCCATTTTGAGGAGACCACCCACTACTTTACAGAAAAATGCGAGTTCTCTCTTTTTCTCTCTCCCTGACAGCTAGTCTTCAAATGTAGGTTCTTGGTAGCTGGTAGTCTAATATCATGTTAAAATTCAGTCTGTTAGTCAGGTGGTTTCCTAGACAGGCTTCACTGCTCACATCATCCTTCAGCCTTTGTTTGCTTTACTCTTACAGCTTGCTGTTCTTTGAGATTCAGTATTATTAATGTGGGAACTCTGTGTGTGTGTGTGTGTGTGTGTGTGTGTTTGTGTGTGTTCAGGGGAGTTAGATTTTACACTCAGGTAAAATCAGCCTTCTTGTTATTTCTTGAGCTTGAACTTCTGAATTTATTTCTTCAACAGAATTCTGAAAAATGTTAATAGAAACTCAGTGACTTGTGTACATTTCTGATAACATAATTGAATCATAACACTGTAGGATAAAGGTATCACTAAGTCCACTTCCTTCATTATAGCTCAGACACTTGAGGCCCAGGAATATTCATGTTCTTCCTAAGGCCACAGATCTAGTGAATGAAAGCATGGGAACTAGAGTTACTCTAATCCTGCCTCACCAGGGTGAGTTTGCTATGATTGCAACTAAGTACCCTGTATGGAAAGGAATCCTGGGTAGCATAGTGTGTGGTAAGACAGGCTGCTAACCTCTATGTGAGCAGTTTGAATCTACCATTTGCTCTGTGTGAAACAGATGAGGCTTTCTGTTCCCATAAAGATTTATAGCCTCACTTCCACCACCCTATATTGGACCAACTAGAAAACTACAGGAATTTACTCAAGTCTTTATTGTCTATGTCAACAGCTAGAATTATTTTTTCTTCCCCTCCTGATATTTTTTCTTATAGCAAAAGAGCTGTGTCCGAATACCAGCTCCTCCATGACAAGGGCAAGTCTATTCAAGATTTACGACGACGATTCTTTCTTCATCATCTTATAGCAGAAATTCACACAGCTGAAATAAGAGCTACCTCGGAGGTTTCCCCTAACTCCAAGCCTGCTCCCAACACAAAGAACCATCCTGTCCGATTTGGGTCTGATGATGAAGGCAGGTACCTAACTCAGGAAACCAACAAGGTGGAGACGTACAAAGAGCAGCCACAGAAGACACCCGGGAAGAAAAAGAAAGGCAAGCCTGGGAAACGCAAGGAACAGGAAAAGAAAAAACGACGAACTCGATCTGCCTGGTTAGACTCTGGAGTAGCTGGGAGTGGGCTAGAAGGGGACCACCTGTCGGACATGGACATCTCCGCAACATCGCTGGAGCACAGTTTACGGTAACGCTTCTCTGGCTTATAGTCTTTCCTGGATGCTTTCTGCTGGGTTTTGCAACTTTTCCCCTGCCTTGACTTGGACAAAATTAGAATTTTCTCCCTTTTTATATCTGTATCAACTGCTCCATACTTTAAAGCTTGCTTAAAAAACCAAAATGATCCAGAATCCAGAATATTGTCTGCCTAGAAGCCCATCAGACACACAAACACACAACTCATATTTTACAGCTTACTTCTCTTTCCCCACCTTCTAAACCCAAGCACAAATTGATTTCCACTCTACTAAATAATTTGATTTCTTATTTACACCTCAAAATCCAGTGAGCATCTTCATCATTTGCTTGAGAAGTATATCGGTTTCCCTACTCTCACACCTTTCCAAATGTTCTTCTTAGTTTTTCCCTTTCTTACTTTTTTCACTGGAAGAGAGAACATAAAAGACCTTCACTTTGATAATATCTACATATACGAATCGGGCTGCGAACCTTAAGGTCAGCGGTTCGAAACTACCAGCTGCTCTGCGGGAGAAAGATGAGGCTTTCTACTCCCGTAAAGATTTACACCCTCGGAAACCCTATACAGGGTCGCTATGGGTCGGAACCGACTCGATGGCACATAACAACAACAACAACATATACTGTAGAATAATATCTTACCAAGAAAAACCTCTCAGCCATTTGCACTTTTAAATGTAACTCTGGTTTCTACTGACTCATTAAAACAAAATCTTGGTTTCTAAAAGTTTTTAAGTATTGGTTTGAGAAGTGTGTAAGCTGTTCTCATGCATTTATTTGCTCACTAGCAAGATGGAATCATTTTTTAGTGTAATACAGTAGGGATAACAAGACCTCATGTTTATATGCTGTGTTTATCCTCAGCTTAGAGATCCAGTAGGGATTCAAAGGTTTTGGAGTTTAGGTTCAAGTCTTGGGTCTAAAGTTATTACAGGTCACAACCTTGACCTGAGCTTTCTAAGATTCCTTTTCCTCTTCTGCAAAATGAAGATGATAATTGCACCAACGCCATTGCGCTGGTGAGATTGCATGGGTTAGATCTGTTATATAGTAAACACCCAATAAATTACCACTTACTATTTTAGTGTTTTTAGATCTAGTTCTGATTGTACCTGTTGTGGGTGTATTTCTGTGAGGCAAAAAGAGGACAAGCATTAATCTCATAAGATAGGAAACCAAGGTACTCCATTGTTAAGGATCTGAGCAAGCACATAATCAGTCATCAGAAATGGAATTTATCTCCTTGTTTCCTGATGCCTAGGCTAGTTCTTTATGGGCACTATTTCTTTGTTCATATATTTCTACTGATAGGCTCTTCTTCTGTTGTTGTTGTCTTTTGTTTTTGTTTTTGTTTTTTTACTTTTCTGTACAGCACTTCTATGGGGTTTGAAAGAGGAAAACATCACAAGAACGCATCATATGCAACCAATGATCTCATTATTTAAAGAGTACCCATGACATCTCCTGTCCTGTCCACTGACTCTGGTAGACATAGGATTACAGAGGGATGATTCAAAGGAGAGTTTGAACTTTTTTTGCCATCACTTCTCTCTTTGAGTTAAGTTGACAAACTCATTATCAAATAGTATATAGAATGGCAATTATTCAATATAATTAAAGTACAGCTTTAGTAGTCAATGGATAATGACAACAGAGAAATCTTTAGCACAGTGAAAGACCTATTTACTGCAGTTATTTAATGGATCTATAAGGGAATGCAAACCCTGTATATTTTCAGTGTATTCTAAGATATGATCCTAATAGTACATATTTATACCTAATACAAGGACTCCACTTTTTGCTAAAATCTGTTTTTATTAATTTTCCTAGTTGTGTGTGTGTGTGTGTGTGTGTGTGTGTGTGTGTGTGTACATTAGGGGGCTTCAAAAAGTTCGTGGAAAAATAGAATGAAAAGATAACGGAATTTTTCCACAAACTTTTTCAGGTCCCTCTATAAGTTACAGAAGTAAGTGTTGTAATAAGTCACAGAACTATAAATGCTTCCCTAAGGATTTCAGTCATTTAAAATATGCAATTATTTTATGTATCTGGAAAATTAATGAAATAAGCACTCGTCAATTCCTTAGCCCAAAGTTGCCCCTAAGTTACAGTAGATCTAGTGAAAATTAGCCAGTGGCCTAATCAAATCCAGACCAAGACTTGGGGTAGGGGAATAGAATGTTTCTGCTTCTCCTTTCTGTTCCTTGGTTGTGAGGGAAGTTCATGGAAATCACTGATTGTTTGGCAACCAGATGTTGGCACGCCCCAGCAGAGAGATGCAGGGAAGAGTGGGGAAATTTACTAGTGTATTGATGAGAACAGATGGAGCTATGAACATCTTGTAATTCAAATAAAATCTTTGCAGAATAACAGCTTTAAAGTTTTATAAAAGAGCAATCTTTTATTGATGTCTTCTTTTTAGCCTCTTGATGTTATTAAAGGATTATCTGAGATGTCTGATGACATAGAGAGCATAAACTTTATGATAAATAGCTGGTATTTTTAAAGTATCTACTGAGTTAAAGTGTTTGTCTCCTCTCAAGTGTACAGTTCAGTGGGAAATGTATAACTTTAAATGTTAGAAATCACATTTTGGAATTTTTGATGTTGCAAATGAGATGTCTCAATACAATGGAACTCTAATTGAAATGAAATATTTTGCCTTGGTAAATACTGATTTGTTGTTGTTAAGTACCATCGAGTCAGTACCAACTCCTAGCAATCCTGTATAGGGTTTCCAAGGAGCTCCTGGTGGGTGTGAAGCTCAGACCGTGCCATTAGTGGGCTGGGTCTTATTCTACAGCGCCACACCAGGATTTCAAATATTGATTTAGGAATAGATAATTAATTTTAAAGGCTTTCTAACTAGGATTTACAAAGCATGTACACACATGAAACATATGTACTTTTAGATGATAATATATTTAACTTTTCTATACTAATATGTGACTTTAATGAAGAAGAAATCAGAGGAAAAAAATAATAAGTAAGCAGGCTAGGCAAGATGAAATAAAATTAAAAGATTACTTTGTTCTTTAACTTATTCCTTTTTTTCTTTCTTCCCTTATTAGGTAATAATTGTACAAAACACTGTTCATTTTCTCCTGTTTGTGTTATTTTTAAGCTCAATTCCCTAAATACCATTTAGTATCAAATCAATTTCAAATAGATGCAACTCAGAAAGTACTGATTTATATAGTCTTTGGGGTTTTATTCATAATTCCATCTGTATTTATCTACCACTTGAAAATTTAAAATTGTAAACATTTCTTTTCTCTGCAATTAGGACCTATTTCACCATTCCAACCCAAACCATTAACATTGTGATAAATTTCTTAAAACTTTAAAACACTCTAATTGCTCAACTTGCTTTTCTTTCTTCATGATGCACATAAAACTCCTAAATGTCAAGAAGTTGTTCTTTTTAACGTCACACACACACACATTTCTGCTAGGTAAAACTCTGCCCACAACTATGGTTGTTAATGTAGTAGCATAGATTATAGAACACCATTCTATTGTTATTTTCCTTAGAAACCGATATATATCCACTGAAATAGACAACACAGAGAAGAATTTGATGATCTCTCTTAAGATTCTGTTGTCATGGGATGCAGAAAGGTTAGAGAGATGTCAGTCTCAAGAGGCACCTTATTCTGAGCAATAAAACAAACACAGTGATATGGGATACAATTATTTCATGTTTTTAAGTCTACTCATTCTTAGTTATTCTCTAATTCAAAATAGGTTTTCATAGTTTCTAAAACAAGATCCACACAAATTCTAGCAGATTCAAATAAATAATTCTTAGTTTTAGTTTCCAAAGCCAAAATCCAATAATAGTTTCATTCATTAGTATTTAAGGGCAGCTATAGACTAGGTGGTACAAGCACACTCAACTTCTAACTGAAAGAGGTTCCTCTGAAGAAGGCCTGGTGGGCTAGAGAATTAGCCATTGAAAACTCTGTGCAGCACAGTTCTACTCTGATACATATGGGGTTGCCATGAGTCAGACATGAAGGCAAATGGTTGTATTTTTTTTTAAATACATGACAATTATCATCCCAAACATGCCGTGTTTAACTACACATCCTTCCAACATTTACCCAAAACCACACACTTTCACTAAACTTACCACAGTCTATTATGTTAGCCAGGGATTGACCAAATGAGAGCCTCAGGAGAATAAGCCATCTTGAGGTCATGTCTCTCACATGTCACTGGGAAATAAAGGTGTATTTGATGATGGTGTCCCACCCTACTCCTGTTTTCAAAGTCTCAAATTGGTCTCTCTTTTACCAAGCTTGCCCACTGGCAGCTCTTTGAAGATTCTTACAAGATCTCCTTTTTCAGATGGAGCATTCAAACAGGCCCCTTTCCTTTTGTACCACTTTGATCACTTAATGTGGTCCACAACCCTGCCTGTAACAGAGGTTCTGAGGAGACACATGGGGTCCCACAAGCACCTCGTGTAGGAGATATTTACAATAAATCCCGTGAATCTCTTTTGCATTGTGATTCTGTGTTCTGTAATTTATGCCCGCTATATCTCTTCATTTGTAAGGAGAATTAACCAATTTTCTCCTCTTCTTCCCCTTCCTTCTCTTTGCAGGAGGCATTGAAATTTTTAGCAGAGGCCTTCAGAGAACATATTGCAAGATTCTGTAATAGTGAACATATGGAAAGTATTAGAAATATTTATTGACTGTAAATACTGTAAATGCATTGGAATAAAACTGTCTCCCCCATTGCTCTATGAAACTGCACATTGGTCATTGTGAATAACTCTTTTTTTTCCCCCCAAGGTTAATCCAATTATTATTATCACATTTACCATAATTTATTTTGTCAACTGATGTATTTATTTTGTAAATGTATCTTGGTGCTGCTGAATTTCTATATTTTTTTGTAACATAATGCACTTTAGATATACATATCAAGTATGTTGATAAATGACGCAATAAAGTATCCCTATTTTGTGGTTAATTTTAATGAATGCCTAAATATAATTATCTAAACTGATTTTCCTCTGTGCATGTAAAAATAGCAGTATTTTAAATTTGTAAAGAATGTCTAATAAAATATAATCTAATTATATCATGACTCAGAGGGTGAATTATATCCTTTAAGATTCCTAGTAGAAGGCACATGATATATTTTTTTTAACTGCATTTGAAATGGTCTTAAGCTTAATATGTTTACATTGGTACATATTCCAACACTTTCACATTAGCTTTTAGTTAAAAACTGCTTAGAATGTATTTTATTGTAATATTTTATGTCAAGTCAATAGAATGGCTGAACTGCCTAGACATCATTTAGACATCATAGTACATTCAATTTCAGGTGGAGACAGGAGAGGGCAGAAAAGAAACAGAAGCCAAGAGAAAGGATTAAAGACACTTAGTTCAGAGAGTTAACCTAACAAAAGTCGACCCCTGAAAAAAAGAAGGAGGTGGTGGTGAGGGTGGATATAAAGGCATGGAGAATTTTAACCACATATAAAGTTTAATTTGAGAGATCTTGTTCTTACTGATAAAAACAATAAGCATAATAGAGCTACTTGAAACTTCTGCCTCTCAAGATGCTCTTCTAGAAAACAAAGACAGGTTTGGGAGATAACATGACAACTCAAAAAGCCTTCAAAGGTATGAGTCTCACAGCTTTGGGGGACTGTGATAGCCATAGCATAATACTAGATGGAATTCCTTTTCCTTTACTATCATCCTAGTTTTCCTAACTCTGTTTTGAGATGAAAACACAAACATCTTTACTTCCACAGAATTTTACTCTTTATAACCACTGTAGCTTAGGCTACATCAGTTTGACATAACAACAAAAACTATGACATGTTTAGGAAATATTTTCTTTATGCACAACATCCCGTTAGGTGTTTCAAGGATGTACAAGAAGGGACATTGCTATCACTACTTTTGAGGCTGTGGCACACTGGTGAGTAGATCTAACACACACATTCTGGAAACAACTAAACTGCTGGGTATAAGAGGCTAGGACGTGATCCAAAATTCTATGGACATTTAGAAAAGGAAAGGGGAAAAAAAGCCGTATCAGGAAAGATTAATCTCTCCTGAGTGTGAGTAAGATAGTATTTCAGGGAGGACCTAAGCTAAGATTGAATTGGTCATATTTTTATTGGAGTTCTCAATAATCTTTAAAACACAACCCCTCTTATTATATTTTGGGAGGATTTTTTGAGCAAAATTAGTAAGAAAATAAGAGATTTGTACTTAGCTTCACTGACAGATTTGTTGGAGGTGGTTTTTATACCCAAAGAATATTTCAAAGTTTTAGCCTACATATAAGTTCTGGTGTGGAGCTGTGAGCTAATGCACTGGACTTCAAAGTCATTTGAACCACAAAGTCGGCATTTCAAGCTCACCAGTCGCTCCTTGGAAACCCTATACAGGGTCGCTGTGGGTCAGAACCAACTCAGCACTTAAGAACAACATACCTATATAAGTACAGAGAACGTAGTTTGGAATTTAAAAAGAGTAGATTTAAAAACCCAAATTTTAAAAAGTAGTTTTTAAAACCCATATTACCACATTTTGCAAAACTCCATTTGAAATCCCAAATCTTAACTAAGGTTATGCCAAATCATTAGAAGTTGTTCACATGAAAAATCTGTTTTTAGACACTAGTTTGGTAAGCACTTGGACAAGGAAGTATCAGTGTCACCTCCAAATACAAGTCATCCTTAATTTTTATTTACAAGTATCCCATCTTTGAAAAGAAAGTGGAGAGAAGAAATTTGGGGATTTACAGTTATCAATTCTCACCAAAGCATTATTAATGCAAGTATTTGCCTTTAGTAATACCTGAGATTCTTTAGTGGTAAAGGAGTAAAATTATGGGGTAAGAAATAGAGTAGGAAGATGAAGGAAGCTAAAAAGCTTTGGGAAGAAATTGTGGACCACTATTGTCATTTTTTTGTGAAAGAAAAACTAAAATATATACTTTAAGATAATAAATGTTTAAATGTAGATAAACTCTTAGGAAATTACAGTTCAAGTGAATATGGATTATCCTTGACTTAAATGATGCTTATAAAGCACTAACAGTGTAAATAAAGGCAAGTTGGACTAAGTATTCTGGAATTAAAAAAATAAAATCTAATCTGCTAACATGCAATTAACCATCCTTAAGCTCTACTTGGACAGAAACTTGATATTTAATTGGACACCTGGTGTACATTTATGGATATTGTAGAGTTCATTTCAAAAGGACACTAGAGATACTTAATGTGAAAACCCTTTTCCCTTCTTCGGTGTTCTCTTAGGCATCATTCTAAAATAAGTACATTTTAAAGCATTGTACTCATAATGCAGGTAATATATGCATGGCTACATTATGAACCAAGATCAGTGTTAAAATAAGTAGCTCTGAAAATATTTAAGCAAACATTGCCATCTCCTTTAATTGTCACAAAAATTAGTTTGGAAATACATGCAGCATCAGTCTGAGACATGAAGAGACACTGAAGTTTTTCTGGGAGAAAAAAGCATAATGATATACACTGATAGTTAAGAATTCAGTTTTATTATGAACCCCAAACACGCTACGCAGCCATAGTAGTCAAAAGAGCCTGGTAATGGTACAATGACAGACACATAGACCAACAGATCAGAATTGAGAACCCAGAGAGAAATCTATCCTCCTATGGATAACTGATCTATGACAAAGGTCTGAAATCCATTAAGTAGAGAAAGATCTAGTCATTTAACAAATGGTGCTGGCAAAACTGTATATCCAGTTTTAGAAAAACGAAACAGCATTCATACTTCATACCATATGCAAAAGACGTGTCTATAAAATCTGAAACTAATAAGATTATTAAAAAAAAAAAAAAAGGGAGCAAACTTCTTGTTAGGCACCATCAAGTTGGTTCCCACTCATAGTGACCTTATACACAACAGAACGAAACATTCTCCAGTCCTGTGCCATCCTCACAACCCTTGATAAGCTTGAGCCCATGGCTCCTGCCACTGTGCCAATCCATCTCATTAGAGGCCTTCCTCTTTTTCTGTGACCCTCCACTTTACCTAGCATGACGTCCTTCTCCATGGACTGGTCCCTCCTGATAACATGCCTGAAGTATGAGAGAGAAAGTCTAGACCTCCTGGCAAACATAGGGTCTCTGATCCATGGCATAAATACGGCATAGATAGACTATCAAGCATAATTAAAAATGCACAAGCAGCAGAAGATAAACTAGCTGACTGGGCCCTCCTAAAAATTAAACACCTGGCACTGTAGGATCAGCACTGCACTTCGAACTACAAGGTTGGCAGTTCAAATCCACCAGCTGCTCCTTGGAAACCCTAATAGGGTCCCTATGAGTTGGTACTGACTCAACTGCACTTAGCAACAACAACAACATGCATCAAAAGACTCTGACAAGGGATTAATCTCTAAAATGTGTAGAAAACTTCAGCAGCTCAACAATAAAAAGACAATTTAATTTTAAAAAAATGTGGAGATCATGAGCAGACACTTCTCCAAAGAAGACCTACAGGAAGTCAAGAAACATGAAAAAATGCTCCAGATCATTATCCATTGTTGTCATTTGCCATCGATTCAGATCAGACTCATAGCAACCCTGTGTAGGATTTCTGAGAGTAACTGGCGGGTATGAACTGCCAACCTTGTGGTTACAAGTCCAGTGCTTATCCTATAGTACCACATCAGGGCTCATTAGCCATTGCTGTTAAGTGCCGTCAACTCAATTCCTGTATAGGGTTTCTGAAGAGCGGCTGAGTTCGAATCACCGACCTTGTGATCCAAATAGACCTTGCAGTCTAGTGCTTATCCTACAGCACCACACCAGGAAAGGAGGCAAAATTCTGAAAACTTCCTAGCCATAATCAAACACCTTGAGGGAATGGATTCCTGGATTTGGGGATGTAGGACCACAATCTCAGGGAACATCTAAGTCAATTGGCATAATATAGTACACAAAGGCATGCTCTACATTCTACTTTGATAAGTAGCAATGGGGGTTTTACAAGCTTGCCAGCAGTCATCTACAATGTGCTCCTTGTCCAGAGCAAATTGAAGTGAAGAAAATCAGACTCAAGAAACAAATGAGTGCTAAGGACTAAAGGACCACACAAACCACAGCCCTTACTACCCTGAGAACTAAACCATACCCAGGTACCACTCCCGACTGCTCTGATCAGGATCACAATAAAAGGCCCCTGACAGAGAAGGTGGGAAAAAAAAAAAAAGGTAGAACAAAATTCAAAATCACACAAAACACCAAAATTACTGGTATAATAGAGACTGGGAGATGCTCTGAGACTGTGGTCCTTAGACACCCAGCCAGCCAGAATTGAACCCACCCTAGGGATCAGCTTTAAGCTTATCAATAGATATCTATAAAGCGAAAAATAACAACTGTGAGAGACATCCTTCTCAGTGCAATCAACCATAGGAGACCAAAATGGCAGCATTTGCACAAAAACAAAAGTCATAAAGGGGCAGGAAAAATGGAAAAATGGAAGCTTGGACCCCAGGGAGGGTGTGGTGAGAGTGCTATTATACTGAAGGGGTTACAACCAATGTTATAAAACAAAATGTGTAGAAACTGTTGAGTGGAAAACTAATTTTCTCTGTAACCTTTCACCCAAACTACAATAAAAGGAAAAGAAAAAAAGCATTCAGTTTTAATTTTCCATTATTTATTGAGTTGAGCAAAGCAACTATTTAGCTTTCTGTATCTACCATTCACCTACAAAGGTAGTCAATCCTTTAAAAAAAATAATAATAATAATAATAAACCTCTCTAATATACTGTATAATATACCCAAATAGGATAAAATATGAAAAATGTGCAACAGTATAAAGTATTTCTTCAATTTCATCTGCTAGTCAATTCATTAAATAAATTCTGAAATACAGTTTAATAGATGTCTACAAGTATCTGAAGAACATGAGTTATGGCTTTCTGTAAGAAATCCCAGAATACTTACAATATCACAAGGTATTAACTTTAGGATAATCTGTAATTTAATTCTAGAATATTTTATAGTTTAACTGCTATTTTTCCCCCTTTGACCACAAAGTCCATGGAAAATCAGAAC